TGATAACTCAGTCCTAAAGTTATCTTTCATATTAATAATTATAAACCATTAACTTACCTTATATAAGTAATCATTATCAGTTGCAACATTTTGATCGGCCATTTTATTGGTACTTTATTTGCTAAACCTATTAAAACTTTTAGAAAGCCTATATTTATATCTTTTAAAAAGTTATAATGAATAACAAAAGTCTTAAATGTTTAATATCATTTATACTAAAACATTCCAATTCTTGTAAAACTACTCGGACAACCAGTTAAATAAGAAAGTGCAAGCTATTCACTTTGTCAAGGTCGCTAAAATAGTTAAATTAACCTTATATGTGGGTAATGAAGTTCCAAGTCTTAGAAACTATTGTGGTAATAAGGTATGCTGATAGCCAACAGATAACTTTAAAGAATTTGCAAGAACACAGGTTCCAGAAATGTCATGAAGAGAATAAATGGAACACAGCTTACAGCTTTCTGTTGACTTCTGGTAGTTGCTGGGTTCTTATAGATATCAAGACACACAGTAGTGTTTTGTGCAGCCAAAACAACCTGTAGAACACAGTGTGTGTGTTATTAACAGGAATGATAGTTTAGCAATACTCCACTAACCTAAGCTATCACATTTTCAGTGGATGTACTCTACTGGACTCTTACTTCACATATCAAAGTTCAAGGCAATCCATTAAGAAATGTACAAGATATAAAATCTCATCTCTTTTTTTTTTATTTGACATAGATGGACACAATGCCAACAGTACAGATGACTATTCAGTGGGTTCCAGTCTGATTGAGTAAATTTGTTACCCTTTGGTGATTTTTCACTACAGGTCAGTGGGTTATTCAGGTTTTATCAGAAGGACTTGTCCTCCAATTTCTTTCCCTAGCTCCCTTGTTTCAGGTACCCATTTCCTTCCCTCTGCCTCGGAATCCCTTCACCAGCCACCATCTGTCAGAGGTGGTACAAGACCTATTGTCTCAACATGCCATTGAACCTATTTATCATCTTTCTCCAGGTTTTTATTCCAGGTTGTTTGTTGTCCCCAAGAAAACCAGAGACTAGTGGCCTGTAATAGATTTCTCTCACCACAATCTATTATCTCAGTCTCCCCATTTTACCATG